TATAGATTTAAATAAATAATTTTTTGCATTAAAAATTGCATTTTATAAATATACATACATATATATTTTTAAATTAATTATACACTGTTGGATTTTTCTTTTTAAGCGCTCTGGCATTAAAAAAACTCGTAACTTCTATAGTTTTTGGTTTTTCCATTCTCAAATCAACAGAAATCAAACATTGCATAATTAATTTAAAAAAAAAACTATTTATAAAAATTCAACTTTTTAATGCAAAAAAAAAAAATATTTATATAAATCTATCTCACACTCTAATGCAAAGGCGAGGTAATTAGGCACATTTTGATTACTTAACTGATTTTCTCCGACAAATAGTTTATTAACAAAAAATTTAAAAAGATACTTCTTTGTGAGCTCAAAATTCCGGAAATATTTTTTCGATTTTCCGATGAATAATGTAAGAAAAAAAAAATAGAAAAAATTTACAAATATGTACATAGTTTATTAACTGCAAAAAATTGAAAAAATAAAATTTCCTAATTTCTATCGTTATTTCCCCTTCGCATCGCTCACTTGCCGTAACCCCATTGCTGCTATGCTGACACAATTGATACATAACCGCCAACGTACCAAATCAACGCTTGTCAAAAACTATTTCAACCACAACAACACTTACCTACAACCAGAGCCAACATATGCGCAACTATCAATATGTAAAAAAGTGAGCAACAAAATCACAACAATAACCAACTAAGCGAAATATTGCCTGCGGAGAAAATCAGACAACGGACATGGCGAGCAAGCATCGATGTACGCGTTGACAGGCGAAACCAAAGCTGAGCGAAATGGGCGCAATATGTGTAGTTAGTCGTATGTGTGTATGTATGTATATCGTAGTGGAACCCCACCCCAGGGCACGATTTAGTTGTACATCAAGAAAGCTACACACACACACACAAACATAGATAGCTTTGAAAGTCTTCTTACGAAGAGTGAATGTAACAAATGTACCTAATTGTGGTTTGACAAAGGAGAACGGGCACAAAAGCAACATTCGTGCGTAATATACAACACAGCCAAAGAGAGCGTAGAGTGGACTACGTCAAATTTAAGAAAATTGAAACACAAACGCCGCTAAAATTAATCAAAAATGTCGCATGCATTTAAGAATGAGTGTGGAGAGGAAAATTCACTTTTTGTTTGACGAAGCATTGGCGAAGGTAAGCTGAACAATGGGTGCAAAAAGTGGGTATGAAAAAAATGTAGGAAACGTGCATGAAGAAGATGGCAATAGCTGCTGCCCAGGTGGATACCGAAAAATTGGAGCATAAATTCGACGTGCAAATAGCAACAACGTAGACGTAAGTGATAAATAGGAAATAGAGCGCGTGAGCATAAATGCGGTCAAAGGAATTGAGTTGGTTTATTTACTTCATTTATTTAAAATTGTATAGAGCGCTCGACGCAGCAATTGAATAACAAATCACATAGGAAAAACAACAACTCTACTTCACTGAGAGAGCCGTCCATTAATTGAGCTGTGAGCGAGAGTTCTGCGCCATTTTCCGTGGAGTAAAAGAGATAAATAAACGCGGAGATGAGCACAGCCGTGCTGGAACTGTAAATGAGAAAACGAATAAGCGAATGTATGACAAACACGCCCACTTTCAGCTCTTGTATATAAGGCACGCACACAAACGCAAAGCACGCAAGACAATGAGTGGAAAAGGAATAGATAGTTGTAAGGCAAAAAACCGTTTCCAAGAGTGTGTACGGTGGAATGAGCAGATTGCGTAGTAGACACACACTTATTTGCTCAGCTATGATGGGCGCTGTAGCAGCGTGCCGTTTTTTTTCTCCTTCAGCTGCAATGGCAGCAGACACAGTTGTCAAAAGCGCGTTTGACAGCTTACAATAATAATAGAGTCATATCGGACGGTTAACAAGCTTTGTCGGTGTGTCGCTGCGCTGCGGAAGTGGGCGGTCGAAGAGCGAAGAGACGTAATAATTAAAAAAATAAGACGAACAAATCTGTAATTGAAATTTGTATTGGAATGGTATAATTTGTAAGCGAGTACAATTTCTAGACAAATAAAATGTTGGATGTTAGTAGATACATTTTTTTGTATACATATTGACTTGCGTTATTTTAACAAAAAAGTTTATGATAAAAATAAGCCTGTATTAAAGAAATCCCAAGTTTCCAATTAATTTTTGAATAAGGACGACGCATTTTTTTGGATGGAGTTTTTTTTTAAATAGTAATTTTTTGAATACAATAAAAAATATACATTTTTTACTAAAATTATGGAAATTTATGAAAGAAAGGAATTAGCTTTAGAAATCACCAACAACTTCAAGTCTCAGCAGAAATTGTGAAGAAAGAAAAAATACTGCAAATTAAAAGAAATTAATTTAAATTAAAATAAAGGAATTGAATTCAATAATACTTACATAATCAAATTAAGCCAAGTTAAATTAAATTATGTAAATTTGAAGCAAATGAAATGAAATTAAATAAAGTTAAATTAAATTAAATTATAATAAGTATAATTTAACTAAGTTGATTAATGTAAACAAAGGTGAGGTATTGACCCCTCATATTAGTAATATTTTCCTCAAGAACTAATACAAAACCCCAGCTGAAATAATTTGTTTTTTGTTACTTTTTTATTACATATTTTTCGGCTTAATAACAATTATTCACCAATAAGAATAATTTTTGAATAACTGAAATAATTTAAAAATACAAAATCAAGAATTAAAATACGAAATCTAAATATGAATAAGTCTCTAAAAATATCATAAAATTAAAACAAAAACATTAAAACAAAACTTTAATTCAAGGAACCATATATGCATGCATTTTAATCTTTAAACTATTAATATATTTCACAATTAAGACACATAATCAAAAATTATAAAAATATCTTCTAAAATCTACCTATCAAAAATTTCCTAAGCTGAAAATAAAATATGTACAAAAAAATGCTATCTAAAAAAATTTTTAATTGATATGTGCCTACGGAATCAAAGCTAAGTCTCAACAATTTCGTATTTAAAATTTAGAAAATGACGTTCACTTGAAAAAATGCAAAAAACCAATTATTGAAATTTTAATAAATTTTTGCGTAATTATTTTTTTCCGTGACCACCAAAGCGAAGACCCGATAAACGGTTTGATAATAATTTTAAAAATAAAACGGCATAAAATTTGGCTTAAAATATTTTGTTCGCACAAAGTATTGGCAAACATTCATACTAATCCAAATAAAATAATATAGCAAAATTATTTGAATAAATAAAATATAAATAAAAAAACAGAATAAGTAAAAAAATGAAGATAAAATAAAATAATTTTGTTTGAATGTACTAAAACAAAGTTAAATAAAATTAGTAATATAAAATAAAACAAAACAAATGTTAGGTCACTAAAAGGGAATTGAAAGAAAAGTTAATCAACAAAATTAAAATGTAAATCAAATAAAACAGAAGACATAAATTAAAGTAAATTAGAGAAAACAAAATAAAGTTAAATTCATGCAAAAAAAAAGTGGAAAATAAATAAAAAGTAAAGCAAAAAAATATATATAAATAAAACAACATAAAACGAATTAAAATAAATAAAAACAAAATTAAGTAAGATTCAAATAAGAAACAATGTAGATATATGTATAAAACAATAAAAAAAAATAATCAACAACTTTTAAATAAAACAACAAAATAGTAGGTAAAATGAAAACCAAAATAAAAATGGAATATTAAAACTCAGTAGGAAAAATAATTTCAAAATGAAATAAAGAAACTAAAAAATTTAAAATAAAATAAAAAAAATTTCTTTAAATAATTTGAACAAAATGAAATAATTTACTAATACAAAATGTAGGAAAACAAAAGCTAAGGCATTAAAAGGAAATCAAAGAAAAGCCAATATAAAAAATAAAATTAAATAAAAATCAAATAAAACCGGATACATATATAAATTTATATTAAATTAAATAGAATTAAATAAGAAAAAACTAAATAAAATTAACTTAAACGCAAGCAAAAAACGGAACTAAATAAAAATCAAACTAGTTATCATTGAAAGCCTGAAAATTTAAAAAAATACTTAAACTTTAACTGTCCATTTCACCAGCAGTTTAAGTGATACTATTTTTTCCAATCTTTCAGTGTTCACATTGGATCAGTTAAAAATACAAAATAAAATTAAAAAATCAAGAGTTTTTGCGTAAATGTACAAATTGCAGAATGAACTACCTTCTAACAAAAATTGCAATGAAAAAACCAGTGTTTATCTAAAAAATAACATTCAAATGCCTCACTTTTGCTATAACATTACATATTTTCGGAAGCTTTGCTCACACATCCAAATCTACTCCACTTTTGACTACTCAAAAAAATCGCATAATTGAAATAATAATCCCGCTCAGTTTGTCACTTAGCCGCCACCCAGCCGGGCATACTTAAGCTGCTCCAACCTCTCAGTTATTTCTAACTGCCTGCCTTTGTTCCCCCTCGCCGACGCATCGACAAACTGCACGTCGTCAGCGATCTATCTGCGAGCTATCAGCTGCTCATCAGCATAGATATCAGTCGTTGGGGAAGCTTACTCCAGCGTAGTTCTGTCAAAGCTGTGCCAAAGTAGGTAATCGATCAAAACGGACAGCCAGCCAGCTACTAAGTACTCGTACGTACAAATCCACAATTGCAGGAGCAGGAGCAGCATTAGCAAAAAAAAAAACAAGCACAACAACAAACACACGGTGCACAAGCCAATCAGTCGCACGGCTTGTCAGTCAAATCATCCGCCTTCGCAGCGCAGACACAAACAAACATACACTTGGCTGTGGCGCGCGCAAGCAACCACCAACCACCACAACTCAGCCTCCAATTGTGTGCAGCGCCAGCAGATTGGCGCACTCGCTCGCTCTCACACATTTAGCGTTGACATTGGCGCTGCGTGCGTGCTCACTCGCCTTGTGAGCGAGAGTGCAGGAATATTGGTCGACGGCCTGCCTGCCTGCTGGCCTGCTTGCTAGGCAGCCCGTTTGACAGGCTTAACAGTTCAATCTGTGTGACTGGCTGTGACTGTCGCTCAGCGTTGTTGAAGTCGTCATAGTTTGTGCTGGAGTTGTCGCTTCATTGGGACGATAAGCAACTGTGATTAGTTAATTTACTCGATGCGTTCGCCGTGAACAGACGTGTGCGTCGCAGTCGTGTGTAGTAAAGCAAAGAAAGCAAACAAGCAAGCAAGTAAAGAAGAAGCAGCGATGCAAGTAGAACAAAAAAACAAAACGGAGTAGCAAACGTGTTTTCTTCTTTGGCTAAGAAACAAGTGTTTTGACTAGAAGCGAATTGAACTTCAACAGAAAACGTGAACGCCTACGGAATTGCGCGAGGCAAAAACAAAACCAAAAAAAAAATCAAGTGTTACAAGTGACAAGTGCGCGAGTAAAAAGAAAGCAGGAATATTAACAATTTAAATAAACAAAATTGAGAAAAAAAATTATTTAGAAAATTTTGTGAATACACTGATTTATTTCATGCAAGTGTGACAATTTTTGAATCCTACAAAGTAAATGCAAAAACTTAATTTTCAAATATTCAAAAAGTTGTGAAATCCCTCACCCGCGTTCCTGCCACGTCAACGTACGTGCAACCAAAATCGCCACGGCACTACCAATGGCCCTAGAGGATCGCTGCAGTCCGCAATCTGCACCAAGTCCGCCTGGCCTACCGCAATCGCCACACCAGCACCGCCTACAGCAGCACCAGCAGCAGCAGCAGCAATCACACCACTCGCAATATAGCCTCAGCCCCACAGCCAATACCGTGCTGGACATGAGCCTACATCCACATCCGCCACCGCCACCTCCACCACACATAGCCGCCGCGCCTGCCACCGCCGCAATGCTGCCACATCCTGTGTCGGCAGTCGCCACCAATGCAGCCGCCGCTGCCACACTCTATCATCAACACCAGCAGCTCCAACATTTGCATCACCTACAACAACTGCAGCAGCTGCATCAACAACAGCTGGTCAATGTCGCCGCCTTCCATCATCATCCTGGCGGCTTTGATGCGGCCACTGCGTTGGCCGCCGCCAACCATGCCGCCTCACTGCACCAGCGGTTGGTCGCCTCACCAGGCGGCTCCTCCACGCCCTCATCCACACCTGCCTCCACAATGACGATCAAGGAAGAGGAGAGTGACTCCATCATGGGTGATAGTTTTCATGTGGATGCCGAAACGGCGACGCCTAGCAGCAGCGCACAAGCACGCGGCCACACCACAGAAGATGAGGATGCGGAAGAGGAAGGCGAGGACGATGAAGAGGACGATATCGATGTGGATGATGTAGATGATGCGCCTAGCGGCGTGCATCAACGCACGCCACCACCCGCACATCAGCAATCCGCCAAGCCAACACTCGCCTTTTCGATCTCGAATATACTTAGCGATCGCTTTGGCGGCAGCGAGCCGGGCAGCCGCAGTTCCAACGGCCCGCACATGCAGAGCACAGCGGCGCCCAAGCAAGCGCACTTGCATACAAATAGCATTTTCAGGCCCTTCGATGCCGCGCGCTCTGCCACACCCTCCGCCTTCACGCGTGTCGACCTGCTGGAGCTGAGTCGACAGCAGCAGGCAGCTGCCGCCGCTGCCACCGCCGCTATGATGTTGGAGCGCGCCAACTTTTTGAATTGCTTCAATCCCGCCGCCTATCCACGCATACACGAGGAGATCGTCAACAGTCGCATGCGACGCAGTGGCGTGCTGCCACCGGTTGGTGTGAAGTGCAACGAAAATGGTACGATTGGCACAGCAGAGCTTTCACCAGCTGCCGTCGGCACGGTAGGTGCCGCAATGGAAAAGTCTGCTTTGGGTTCGCTCTGCAAAGCGGTCTCGCAAATAGGCCAAACTGTGGCGGCACCAGCGTGCTCCAGCGCCTCCTCCGCGACAAGCGCGTCAAGTATTGCCAGTCCGCCACCTGCTTCCAATGCGTCGTGCACATCCTCCTCAGCCTCATCGTCCACGTCGGCGGGCAGTTCGCTAAATTGTTCACCCACCAGCCGCCTGCCCAGCAAAAGCAGCAGTCCCCAGCCTATACCGCCACCGTCGGCTGTCAGCCGTGACTCGGGCATGGAGTCCTCGGATGATACGCGCTCCGAAACGGGCTCCACCACAACCGAGGGCGGCAAGAGTGAAATGTGGCCAGCGTGGGTGTACTGTACGCGCTACAGCGATCGACCCAGTTCGGGTGAGTGTGAGTTTAAAGCATTTTTGGCATAGATTAGGAGAGTAGACTCTTGATAATTGTATCTCTAAGTAATTGAAGAGAAGGCATTCGTAAGAAATATTTGTGCTTAATACTTTCTAAAATAGTAGAATTTCAAGGGCAGTCGAGAAAAAGTAGAATACATTTTTTTTTTTCAATTTGGACCACCAACAGTTTGCCGCGCTCGCAGTAGCCATTTTGCAATAAGAAAATTCTCTTTCTTCTCTCCATTGCATTTAATTGCACATTCTTACTGCGAGTAACCCTCGAAGCGTGTCTCCAATTGCAGCCAATTGTACATTTATGTATGTATGTATGACATGACATTATACAAGGTCAAACAAAGCGACCTAAAATACAGTTAATGTCCTCCAAAAGAAAGAAAAAATATCGAAATCGAAGGACTCGCCGCACATAGTGACGATTGGCGGCATATCCTTCGATTTCAAAGTGCGCCCACATGCTGTGTGGAAGTATCAATGTTTACATTGCCGGGGAGTTGATGTATATCTATAGATACATTTTAATATGTATGTATGTTTGTGCGTCTGTAAATCTTCCTTTGATGCTAAACCGCTATGTGACAATTTTATGTTGACAATGAAGGCAATGAAATTGAATTGATATAAGTACATACCTAAATGTATAGGCTTGTATGTATGTGCGTATGTATGTATGCAGCATAGGGAAGTGAAAAAAATGGCTGCTGATAACAATAACGGCATTTCAAAGAGAAGACGTGATGGTCAACAAATAAATTTAAAAAAAGTGGAAAAATTGTATGGGCTTACTTGCTGTTTTTATTTTTGTTGTATAAATAATTGCATGCGGATTCAGATTTAATTTTCACGTATGTATCTACACATAAGAAAAAATATCAAATTTCCAAAACACTTTAGACACGTTTTAGGTTTTATTGAAATTTTTAGGTAAAGGCTGCCAACTTTCCAAAAAAATAATTTTTTTTTAAAACTTTTTCTAAAAAAAGTTTTTCAAAAATAATTATGGATAAGAATAAAATAAAGGAAAACTAAAAACATATTGATACAAAAAATTATTATTTAAAAAAAAAAATTTCTTTCCAAAAATTTTATAAATTTATTTCCAAGAAAACAAATTTTGGAAAAAATAAAAAAATTAATTTAAAAACACAAATTATAGGACTTTCGTCGGTTTACTTGCTGTTTTTTATTTTGCTGCGTTATTTTAGTTTAGATTTGATAATTACCCAATTTTAATTTTTTTTTAATTGTATCTACTAAACTTGGTGGGATCAACATTTGCTTTATAAGCGACAATCTCAATGATTATTCAATTTTGAGGCATAACTGTAGGCGAAAAACTAATATTTAGGGGGAAAATGGTCAACTTAAAGTTCAAAATTTTTCTCGGGTGATTTTCTTAATTAAAACTAAAATAATTTGTCGAAATTTTTTTACGATCATTTATTTACTTTTTATTTTATTTTATTTTTTATTAAAATATAGTTTGGAAAAATGTGTAGACTTTTCACGCATAAAAAAAAATAAATAAATAAAGTTTATTTAAGTTTTTTAGTTTAGTATGTGATTTCCTCCCAAATAATATCCTTAACCTAGAAAGCGACGCTAGTTTGGAGATTTAAGCGTTTTTATTTATTTGTAGATTAAAAGTCTTTAACAGCGAGTTATTCAAATATATTGGAGCAGCAACGCTAACATTATAGTGAAGCGACTTTTAAATTTTTTGATATGTTTGTTTTTTTTTTTTTTGATTCCAAAAACGTTTGGTAAGAAGCGATTGTATGTATGTATTACCTAATAGCAATTAAAAAAAACCAACAACAAAAGATTTTAAAGTTAGTTTAATGAAATGCAACGTTTCTTCTTCAAAACTGCAGGAATACTAAGGAATTAATGCCCGCCTTAGAGATTGAAATTTTAACAACAAAAAAACTGTTAAGATAAGTTCTAATAAAAAAAAAACGTAAATCAATTGGAAGCAATTAAAATTTATAAACCCTAATTTTTCTCTTTTCAAAAATTGTAAATTTTGTTTAAAGTAGATAATTAGTATCTACAATTTTTCGTTGTGATTTTTTATATATTTTTCTCACCTCAATTTCTACTAAAACTACACGGCCGTATGAATAAAACCTAAGCAGATGCTTTTTCTTAAAATTTCAGAACTTTTACTCGATTTGTTCAACTAAATTTAAGTAAAACCTCTGAAATTTTTAGAAAAACCAATTGCTCAGTTTCTTTTTCATAAGACCCTTTGTTTTTGAATTTTACGATTATAATTTTTTATTTCACCAAATTAACAATAATAATATTTTTGGTTCGTAATTTATTTAAATTTGTTTGAATTTAATTTTCTAGTCTTTGCTTTAGTTTTGATAGTTTTGTTTTTTAATTTCAATTCATTTTACGTCTTTACTTTCTTAAATTATATTTTTATATTATACAAAGTTTAAAACTATATTTACAGTTTTAATTTTTGAAGCATTTGAAATATTTTCTTGTTTGTGGGTTTTATAATTTTTACAACTTTAATATTTTTTCTTTGTTTTTCTATTTTGTTTTGTTTTATTATGTTTTCATAACTTTTGTTTTTTGAAATCACGAAAAATTTTATTAAACTGGACAGTTTTTGTTAAATTGAAGTTTAAGATTTTTTAAATTAAATAGATATGTATATATTTTTCATTAGATATTTATTTCTAAATTAAATATACATTTATATGCATTGTAATTTTAATTTACATAATTGTCAATTTTAAAATATTTTCCACGCACTGCTTTTATTTACTACAATTTCAAATTGTTGAAAAAGGACTGACTTTATCTTAAATCAGAACTTTTAGCTTTTTTGAATTTTCCTAAATTTCAAATTTGTATTAATTGACTATTTTTATTGTAATGAATTTCTAAAAACGTATGACTCAAATTTTTTATTATTTTCTATTTTTTTATCTTTTTGTGTTCTAAATATTTGAAAACACTTATTTTTAAAATAACGATTTTTTGGTTTTTTGCTTAGGAATTATGCATGGGTATAGGTAAATTAAAGATATTTTATGTAATGAAAATTTCTAAGTGAAACGAATTTGAATAATTGTTAGAACTTAATAGTTTTAATTAAAATATAATTGTGTAAATTTAATTTATGTTATCTTTTACTGTATATTTTCAATTATTTTCATTTTGTTTTTTTTTCGATTTTTAAATTTGATTTTATTTGATGTTGCTTTAGTTTTTGTGTTCTTATTATATGTACATATATTTAATTAAAATTTTTTTTTTATTTTAATTCATTATTCCAGTATTTTCCTGATATGGCACAAAATATTAAATTTTGTCTGAACAATCCGCTTTCCTCTGGCTTCCTTTTTTTTGATAACTTAGGCCACATTTTAGAATTCAGTGGCGATTGATGCGCCCTAGTGCTGCTGGATTGACAGATAATGCAACATTTATGTTGTAAACAAGCTCTGAAATGATAAAAAAGGGGGAAATGAAAAAAGTGCACGTCGAAGGTCGCCACGTGTTAGCCATTGGAGTAGAGGCGAAACTAGGCGAAATATGTATTATCTCTTTATTGTAGGGAGATCTTTATAAAGCAGCACATTCTACACACAAACATACATACACATGTTACATGCATACATATGTATGTATATATTAATAAGCTGAGGAACCTCTTTTAATTTTAGAGTACTTTCTATAAAATCCCACACACAACAAGCAATATTGCTTTCTTCACACACAAATCACATTTAATAAGCGTACGCACATATATGTATGTATGTATGTATGTATGTCTGTATGTATGCACGTACATATTTATGTATATTTGTAGATATATATGCATTGCCTACTTTTTCGGCTGTTAATTGATGAGTTAAGTGCATTTTTATGGAATGGAATTGATTTTTAATTTGCTGCTGATTGAAATATGAGGAGCAAAAGATAAATTTGTTGCTAGCTACGAAGTAGTATATAGAGAAAGCGATCAGGGGACACAAAAAAGAAAAGGCAGCAATAGCAGTAACGAGGTTATGATGGACGCTCTGGAGTGCGCACTGACATTTTGGCGGTCACATGAATTCCCAGCTGAACGAAGAGATAAATTACAATTAAAATTTTCTTTGCTGCTTAAAAAAAGAAGAAAAAAATAAAAGGTTGCACTTGCACACAAATTAATGTGCAAAAGTGCCAAGAAAAAAATACTAAAACAAAAAAAAACACGCTCATCAATTATAAATATTGAATTGCTAACAGCAGCCGCCATTTTTTCGCAATTCGCAACACATTTAATGCAATCAACAATCAACACTTTTCGAAAAAGTGAAATTACTGCAAGTATGAAGCTATTGCAGCAGCAGCAACAATCATTTAATTTCATTTAAAATGCTAAATTATGCCACTCTTCTCATTGCCCCCCTCCCCCCCACAACAACTTGAAGTTAAGGCTGTTGAAACTTCCGTTTGCTCCCAGGCAACCCCATAATTTAGTTGTTAATTGCGGCTAAAAACGCTTTTTAATATGTATTATTTTGTTAGTGTTGTTGCTGTTGTTGTTGTTGTTGTTGTTGCTGCACACCTCAAACGGCTTGTTATTAGCGCAAAAGCGCCTATTAATTCCAATTTCTCAGCTTGCAGGTAAGCTCCAAAGCGAGTTCTAGCGCCTAACGCTCATTTATACTCGACTGCTTATTAAGTCATTTGCAATTAGCAAATCAAAAAATTAACAACTAACCGTCAACGAACAACAACAATAACAACAAAAACAAAGAACGAGGATGAGAGTTTGAAATGAAAGAGAAGGGGTAAAAAAAAAACAAAGCGAAATGTAGCTGATTGAGGCGGCTGCTGGTCGAGGCTTAAGTCTTGAGCGTTTTTGAGTCATAGTTACCGTTTGAAGTTCAGCCTCAGCCTAAGACAAATACATACATACATACATATACTATTTAGTTAACTGGAGATAAGTGGTGAGGTGATGAAGCGTTGAAACTGTGGAAGACTTTTGAAAATTAACTGGGAGGGGAGTAAATATGTCAGTCAACTGCTTAGTCACACACAAACGTTGCTTAATCATTCACTTATGTACATACATATTTGTAGCTAATTGCTGAGAGTGTTGTTGCTCAGTCCGAGCTATGTACGCGGATTAGCTGCTAACAGGAAATCTCAAGGTGCTAATTGCAGCGATTCTTTGGCAACAAAGCTTTTATTTGCAATTGAAATTACTTCTTACAAATTTGAATGCTTTGTTTTTACAATTTTAATTGTTTGTTGATTTTTCCTTTTTATTTCAAAGTCCGATAAATAACTATGGCTTAGTAAATAAGTATGCAAACAAAAAGAGGGAGAAGAGAGAATCGTTTTTTTTTATTTGCTAACAAGTGTAGGTAATTTGTTAAAGAAAAATATTTAGACCAATATTCTTTTTATAATAAAAAGCAAAATATATTACACACATAACTTTATTTTTAATTTTTTTTATTAAGTAAAACCTCTTAGTTTTCATTTAAATTTTTAATTTTTTTGCATCAAATATTTAGGGCCGTTTTCACCAACATCTGTTAACCCTGACCGGAGATTAGTGTTAATCAGACAATGAGAAACTGGCCCATAAGCTGACATTTTTCTGATTTTTTCTCTTTTAAATTGATGCAATGAAAGTTAAGACCTAAATTTATCGCTGAAACTTAAAAATCCTGAAAAGTTCGCACAATCCCGAAAGTATGAAGCGTATTTGAACCTCTCTCGTTTGATACTCATACCAAAATATTTCATTTAAATTAATTTTGAATTAATTAAAAATTGGCAACTCCACTCAAAAATATTTTTCGAAATATAGCGTTCTTAAAGCTGCACGCTTGACACCCATATAAAGGTATTTGATTTAACTTTTTAATCAAATTGATTGTAACTTTTTGAACAGGTGGCCACTCCTTTTAAAAATAATTTACAAATAAATAATTTTGAACGCCTTTCTTTTGACATCCACATTGTTGTAAGTTTTCATTTAACTTACATATTTACTAATAGGTTTTAACTTTTAAAAAATGTGGCAACTCTCTTCAACAAATATAATATAAGATAATACAAAATTTCCAAATTTCATTGAAATGCATTCAGCCGTTTTAACGAGAAAGAGCAACAACTTACTCACACTCACACACAAGCTTTCACGTTTATTATATTAGCAGGATTATTGGTGTTTTTTTGAAAGAAAAATCGCAAACATTTTGCAAAATTTTGTATTTAATCAGAACATGTATTTCACAAAAAAAATATATATTTTAATGCTACAAAAATTTAACTGAAAAATTTGGAACATCTCCAACAGCTCAGAAACTTTTTCAGTTATTTAAAAAAGTCATAAAATAGAATTCAAGAATGCAATAGTGGCATTAAAAGCAAATATTCATCATTTATTTAACATAAATTTCGACTAACTAGTATGCATTATGGCCCACCACCGCACCTGCAACATTTGCTTTCCACCATATTTCATTTCTTTTTTTTTCGAAAATTCCTCCAACGCCTTAAATGCCCAAAGCATTTCACACATATTATTTCATTATTATCATTTCTTTTGTGTGTTGGTTTTTCGTTTGTATTTTGTTGTTTTGTGTTTTGTTTTGTGGACCATCGTTTGCCTCAAGCAATACAGCTGCACCTTAATTTGCATAGCATTAAAAAATTTTATTTGAATTTTCATTATTTTTCGGTAATTAACTGCTCCTAGTTTACCTGTTTATATGTTTTTTTCCCCCGCTTATTGTTTTTGTGTTTCCATAGTTTCATTTAATTATTACCCGTACAGGCGAAAAATGTGACAGCGTCATTTTTTCTGGCAGCAAAGCGATTGCTATAGCTGCTTCTTCTTCCTTCGCTGCTGCTGCAATAGTTAAATATTTTTGTAGCCCACAAAAATTAATTAACAATATTATTAAAGCTGCGTCAGAGAGAGAGGGAAGTGAAGTGAAGAGGGCAACCAGGGTAAAAATGGCGCAAGGCGAGGCACAGCATGAGGCCGCAATCGTACATATACACAGGTTTATAGCCATTAAATAGTTCACTTTTAGTCGCTTTTGACAGCTGACAAATTAGGCTGCCACGGCGACAAGCTAAATGTTAAATAGTGTACCAACTAAAATGAAGAAATAAATTAACAAAAAACAACTGGCTAGTCTGCAAACTAAGCAAATCAGCGGCCAGCTAATGCAGTCGCCAGCAAGTTGGTTGGCAACTTTTATGTTCAAGTTTTTGTCTGGCTCCTAAAACTAAGCTGAAGATGAGAGCACATATAGGTACACCTGCACACACACACGCGCATACACATATGTATGCTAATTAAATCATTAATAAAATTAATAGCCATATATAAGGTAATAAATTTAAGATTTGACTTTGCTCCGAGGGCGGTAGAGTGCGTATGTATGTATCTATAAATGGAAGAAGTTGTTGGCTGATAAGATCAAGTACATAATCAGCTTCAAAGCCGACAGCAAACGAATGTCTTTGTACAGAAAAATTCCTCTGCTTGACAGCTAGACTTTACCATTGCAAATTATCCCTTTATTTAAAATAATTTTATTATTACGATTTTCCTCTGACTTCTTCAATGCATTAATTTTTCTGTGTAAACTTGCCGCCTACGCGTTGTTGCATGCAACCAACCGACTTTGCCTGTCAACGCCTGACAGCTGACATATTGACATGTGCCACGCAATGCTATTCTTGACACTGAGATTTCTACACAGCCAACGCTAAGAAGTGCGCGCGGCGTTCATAAATAATTATTTGTGGAATTCTATTGAAAAATATTTAAATTTCACCTTTGTGACATTATTTATTAGTATGTATTATGAAGTTGTTTTGCGCGCGCGCAACAATGCTTTGAGTTTTTAATTTCAGTATTTTTTTTTTCTTCTTTGCATTCCAGGTCCACGCTATCGTCGCCCCAAGCAGCCAAAGGATAAAAATAATGATGAGAAACGGCCGCGCACTGCATTCTCCAGCGAACAATTGGCACGTTTGAAGGTAAATAATGAAAAAAAAAAATAAAAATTTAAATATAAAATTATTGCGCTAGCGAGTAGTGAATGCTAGAATGTAGTATGTATGTATAAGCGAACACAAATGCAAATATTCAAAGGCAGATGAGTTATGTATATCCAACCATGGCCTTCCCGTTGCACCTTCTGCTTGAGACTGGCATTGAGTTCAGCGCCAGGCCAGAAACTTATTTCTAAGGTGCAATTTTTATAATGTTTGGAACTACTTAGTAATCTCTTCCGGCCTTAGGTCTTGTTTCACGATCCATATAAAGCCCTCTGCCTCTATGGCCTCCATGTCGCAAAACAAACAAGAACGAAAGATGCTCCTTCGGCTCCTAAGCTCCGATTTTTCTTCTGTGGGCCGCCGTACCAATGTTAATTACAAAAAAAAACAATTTTATAGTTGGTTTCATGGAAGATACCGTAACGCCTACGCGACCTTTCGGTGAACTCGTGAAAAATCGTCCTAATTTTTCGGCTGAAGCTACTTTGCTAGCAAATGAACAACGCCGGGTCGATCCCAAAGATCCCCGGATCTGACATTTAAAATTTGAGTTTTCGCAGCTGGAAATCCAGGTTAATAAGTAGAAGTGGAAAGAGCACTTGAAGACCTGCAACTTCCCCGCTGGTGTGGGAAAGCTTTAGTTAACCGTGGTATCATTGTCCTTCCCCACGAAACGAAGTGATATCGGGGAAAAAGTGTTCTATAAGAGCGTCTAGTCGGACCGAAAATGACGCGCGTGTTTTTTTTTTTTGTTTTTTACCCACAATGCCCACTACATCCCTCCGTGGATAAGCCCAGAAGGCTGCACAACGTCCCAAAACGCAATCAGCCTCTTACTTTCACCAGCTATGCAATTCCGGTGGGCATCGGCAAGACAAAGCTTTCAAAGCTACTGATCCGCACGCAATATGCTTTTTGAAGCTAAGCATTTATTTGGGTTCGTTGGGTATAATCATTCGCTAAGGTCCTCGATTTGGCATTTTGTTGACGGGCGAAAGCCAGGAAGAGTGGTTGCACTTCTGTTTATTGCACTATAATAATATTTAACGCCTTAAACGTCCAGGCTCCTCGAGGCTTTAGCCGAAACCGCCACTGTGAGAACCCGTTCTTGAGCGTTGAATTTGTCGAAGACATTCGACATCTATTATCACTCTACTAGGGGGCGTTGAGACGCTGGGCCCCATGCATAAAAGGTGAGCTTTGGCTCAGACTCAGTTCTCACTCTGACGAAATGAGCTCAAGCTTAAGAATTTGTATTGAGAATTCTTTCTCCCATAAGCGCAGCATTAAGGGTATTCATTTCCTCTCCCTCTGAAAGTCGTTAATTAATAACCCACTACCTTGACTCCCCTCTCCCGACGGCTCTAGGAATTATTCCTAGACTAGTATCTTCTCCCAACCACTTTTCGAAGTCCCCGAGCCAGCAATGCGAGTTTCAGTGATCTCATGCGCTGACGACCGCTCGATATTGGCGTGTGGTACAGCTATTAATGACCTGATTTAAAAAATAGATAAACGTCTATATCACCGATCTTTGTCTCGCGTTTTTATTGCCCGGAGCCTTACCCTTTCGCCTACAAACTCACATGCGATCGCATATCTAGAACTTCATGAACGAAATTTCCATTATATGCTTGACTTTTTGTGTTTTGGTTGATCAAATCTCAAGCCATTTCCAAGGCTATCCGCAAATTTATAGTCTCAGCTAAATTGTCACAATATCCTTTTTACAAACTCTCTCAAGCATGTCTAATTTTCTACTTCCGCGCCCAAGTAAATGCGCTACAAATCTTCTCTTACAATACGCCAACAGAGATTTGTATTCAAAAAAAAAATCCTTCGAAATTTTATATTTATTTTTATTGCGTGCCATATTTCCAAAATATTTACACTCAGATGCTGTTCGACACCCGTGGGGCGTAGCAAACAAGGAGGAAGAAAAAAACATCGTTTAAACCTATTTTACTTGCATTCAGAACGCATCAAAGCGGAGCAAAAACAGAGAGTATGTAGTAGAAAAATGAAATAAGGCTTATCTGCCAAGCTAATTAAATACGCGCCTGGCAGTGCAGAGTGCGTACGCTACATACATATGTATGTGTGTATGTATGAGCATTGGGGTGGTCCAAAAATGTATATGAAAAAGTAAAGTCGGAATTTTTATGCTCTCACCCGCTGGGATTGTTCTATACCGAAAATATATACCCTTTTTATTTTTTTTTTTTAAATAAAGAAATAGTTAGATACCGCTCAAAGCGCTCAAAGATTTCCATGTATTTTATATGGGGAGGAAACCACTTTTCATGGAAATGGTATAGAATTCTCGAAAATCAATATTTTTCGATCGGAAAACGCTCTTTCTGTTCAGGAGATTTCAAATAATAATACCCAATAATTTATTTAACCATTTTTTCATAGTAACTATATATTATAGGTCTGCCAAAACCACCAGAAAATGCAATGGGGGGATGAATAAAAATCTTTAATATTAAAAAATGGTTAAATAAACAATTGTGTATTGTTATTGGAAGTCTTCTGAAGTGAACCAGAGTTTTCCTATCGAAAATATTGATTTTCAAAAATTCCATACCATTTCTACGAAAAGTTGTTTTTTCCAACATAAAATACGTAGCAAACTTTGAGCAACCTCTAAATATTTTTTGATTTCAAAATAATAAAGGGGTATTTTTTCGAAATAGAAAAATCCTAGGGTGAGGAGAGCTTTAAAATTCCGATGTTACTTACTTAGGACCACCCTAACGTGCATGCATGCTAGAATATTACGTGCTTAGCATGCAGCAACCACAACAAAAACACGTAAAAGGCAAATCTAATGCTGGAGTTAGAGCAGAGGCTTCAGGATAGTTAAATGGATGAGGACACATGTGTGCGGTTACGAGTACAGATATATACATACATATATATATATGCATAGATATATACAGTGTGCACATACTCTTGCCTCCATGACGCTCAGCTTGCTTGTCCTGTTGTTCTCTCTGCCTTAGCCGGTTCCAATTAGCTATGGTCAATATATTATTTTCACTCCTAGCGGGGCTCTATGATTTTTCTTACCTTTTCCTAAATTTTTCTTACTTGCCAGCTCGCTCGTTCCCTCTCGTTCTCTCTCTTTCTCTCCCCCCCTGAGACTTAACCGCAAATAATTGATTCGCCTTGCCTGTTGTTTCTTTGACGCTTTTGTCTGCTGCTTAGCATTAGAATTTACTATTCTAATTTTTTTGTTGTTGTTATTCTTACAATTTATTAACTTTATTTCATTTCTTTTCTACTTTATTGCAGCGCGAATTCAATGAGAATCGTTACCTTACCGAACGTCGCCGCCAACAGTTGAGCTCAGAGTTGGGTCTGAATGAGGCGCAAATCAAGATTTGGTTTCAGAATAAACGCGCTAAAATCAAGAAATCTTCCGGTTCGAAAAATCCACTCGCCTTGCAGCTGATGGCACAGGGTCTATACAATCATACGACAGTGCCGCTGACGAAAGAGGAGGAAGAATTGGAGATGCGTATGAATGGGCAGATACCGTAAGAGGCGTTGAGTGAAGAGGCGGAGGGGAAGATTTCGTATGCTCTGAGCTATGAGTGGTACGATGATGACGTCGCGTGCAATAAAATAGGGGCGGGCGGGAGCCAGCAGTTGAGTTGTGAAGAGGAGCCTGTTAGGAGAGATGTTATAAATAAGCTTAAAGAAGAGTTTGTTATGTGATATAAGTATGTAAAAGGAAAACAAACGAAAATTAAAGAGAAACAATAAAAATAAAAATAAAATAAAAAATTTCAAGTAGCAAATTTAGTGAAAAAATTAAAATAAATTATCCTGCACCTATTGTAAATATTAATTAAAGTTACTGCTTTAGCTGCAACCTTACAATATTTTAAGCAAAACACTTCAATCCACACACACACACATCTGGGGCACTTACTCCCCCCCACACTATAACTGCTTTCATTACTTGTAATTTTTATTGTAAATAATTGTATTTATTACTAGCGTCTAATTACAAATTAATGTAAAAGTATTACTCTCGTCAATGTATGTACATACATATATACCTACACACCTTTTCGCACTCATTTCAATTCCATCACTCAAACACACTTCCCATTGGTACCGTTGGAAATTACCTGCAATTGTATTATATGTAGCAGCATTTCTAGCATTTGTCTGCTACTTAGTTTTTAAGTAAATTAATTTTTTTTATAATTTTTTCCGTTTGTTTTTTTAGCATAATTTGTTTGTAATAACTTTGTAAAAACAATATTTAAATATCTAGTATTTTTGTATAGCTCATAAGCACCGCTGTAGCATTAAAATAATTTAAGCCGCTTTAAACTTTAAGGCATTCAAGCAAACGCATACTTACTGTATTAAAAATTTATATATTTGTTTTTACTATACTTAGTTTTAAAGCTTGAAAAAAAGAGAATATATCTTTCAAGAAAAAAACGGAAACGCGCAATACTTGGCTTAAAATGCACATTTACTTGCGCAGAAATATGTATGTAAAAAAAATAAACAACTATGTATATCCTATTTAAAAATAATGCATACAAATTAAATTAAAAGCGTTAAAAATGAAATATGTTCAATAAAAACTATATGAAAAAATTAAAATTTATGAAAATTTCATTAAAAATTGTTAGGTGTATTTTAGTGAGTGCCGCTCGTTAGGTACATACATACATATTATATTCTGCTTATAGTGAATCACACTTTTTCTACAACATACATTAAGGCTTTGTTACAACCACTGAGTCATAGGTGGCGCTATTGGCGCTGCCAATATTCTCATATCCTTCATTTATTAGTTTACGGCATTTCTGCATGGAATACAGTATCCGTAAAATGCCCACTACGACTCCTCTGGTACATATCAAAATTGTTCATGACTTTTTGACAAACTTCGGGCTATAACGCGTATGATTTCGTTCGTCAGCTCTGGAATCGCATCGTACCGTATCGTACTTTTTTCGTAGCCCCAGAGAACGTAGTCCAAATGTGTAAAATCTCAAAGATCTCGGCAGTCATTTTACCTCATTGTTTCCTCGGATAATGCGTCCAGGAAATTACAAGTGGCACCGTTCTGATGAAACCGCATATAATCCAAGTCCATGTCATCTAATACGTGCTATAAAAAGATCTCATTTTTCAGGCATCCAATTGATATATATATGTATATAGCGCTGCAAATGGTCTCTCGACTTAGTTCCTCGGTTAATTGAATTTTGTTGGCGTGTAAGTCTTTTCTTAAAATCCGCTGAAAGGTGCTGTAGAAACGTTTCAATTATTGTGCAATTTCGTGATGACGAATTGAGGTTGTCGCGGCTTGCTCCGCATTTTGAACGACCTGTACCAAGACGCACGGGTAACGATTTGCACCTACCCAGTTCCTTCGAATTTATGCACCAGTCAGCTGATTATAAACTCAGATGGCCGCTTATGTTGACTGAAAATATCACACAACGCGCGATATGTACTCAACTGAGTAACGTTCCATGACTAAGTTTACCAAAGCCTGTAGTACCAAAAAGAAGGCAATTAAATCTTTTCGTGAACGGAGTTAGGTCAGATAAAGTTAGATTGAAGTGGCTACTGAACTTGGAGGAAAGTTGGCACACCTAAGTCCAAAAAGAGGGGCACATTATGATACCATATGGATCCAGAAACAATTCTCTTTCTTAGGAGTTGCGCTTGGATCACCTAAAAACCCTGTGCCCAGGAATTTCTGTTTTTACCTACAGTGAATTCTTCATTGATTCAGGCTCTTCTTCGTCGTAGCAGCTCTTGCAGTAGGCATTGTGGCAGTAGATAAATATGTCTTGTGAGTAGCCCGACGGTAATTGACCTTTCACATCTATTGAGAGTGAGAATCTATCTTGATCTCCTTATGCCCCATTCAGGCCACACAAGCGAAGAATAGCTTTAACTTTGGGCTTTTCAAATCTCTCAGTTGTCAATAACCCGATTTCTGCCCTTTTCATTTTACACTCCCATGCCTCATTTCATTAGATATATCCTCTTCGTCATTTGTGATGTGGAATTAAACTTAGCATGAACTTTGTATACATATATAAGTACATACATGTGTATGCATGCAATTCTCAGCGGCTGGCAATTTCGCAAAAATTAGCATCATTACACATTTGCTAATTGCCTCATTTGATTTGAAAAAAAAGCATTTACACATTGTACAGAAGCGCATTGCCTCCACATCTCTGAGTCAGGAAGGTCAAATTACAAATAAGTGTGAAATAAGAATATTTGTTTTACAAATACTAAAATCTGTGATCGATTTGTTTAAGAGTAAATTCAAAATCCGCTAAACGATACTTTTTGAATTTTATATAATAATAAATGCACCTATGGACTTCTCACCCGGTACCATCGAGATACGTTCGGACCACTCGTGCGACCTGCGGTCAAGCATTGTCAAGGTGGCAGATCAATGACTCACGTCTGGTTGTCCATTCCGGCGGTTTTTTGTGCAATCACTCGCTTCAATTGTATCAGTCGTTGTCTTTAGAGAGCCGCGTCGATCGTTGGACCACCTTTCAGAAGCTCGTGATACAGGATTATCTTTGGCCATACAAAAATGAAATCACAGATATTTGGCTTTGGCTTCAATGGTACGGGTTCGCTGTCTTCTGGCTCTTTGGATTATCGTAATGTCCTTTTTTCAACGCTGCTGGAAATACAAACGAAAAACGAGTTCGATTTGTGCCGTTGAAGAGTCATTTGGAAAACAGTAGCACGCCGTTTGATATCTCTTTTTTTTGATTTCGATAGGCACCCAGTTTCCGGTTTCTGGATCATACCAATGGCTTTCAATCGCAATTAAATGTCATTTTGACTCACGCCTAATATTTCCGCAAGTTATTTTTGAGTATGGAATGGGTCTTTGTCCAAAATTGCTTCAAAACATAGATAGCATACTCGTCGTACCAAAAAAAAAAAAAAATTGAAATGACATAGACTGTACAATGTGGTTAAAAGATGACGCTTTAACATGAAGTTGGCTGCAACATTGTACGGTATGCTTAAATACTACTGACGCCCTCTATTGGCTATCCTTTAAAACTTTCTTGTATACCGAATAATATTTAGTATAATGAAGTGTATAAACAAATTTTCGAACAGCCGAAAAAAAAAACAGCAAAACAAAATTATCAAAAATCCATGGGATTTTTAACCAAACTCAAACTAACTAAATATGAAACTGCGTACCAAGAATTATCCTAAAAATTCGAATTAAAAAATTTGTAATTTTTGGTGAGAATTTGAAGAATTTTCTAATTTTTGTACAAAGTTTGAAATTTGGATTAATGTGGTTTTTGACACAATTGTTCCGGTCGTAGGTGTATTTATTTGGAAGCACTCTTAAGGAACCGCAAATCCCAAATAGTGGACAGTGAATTTTATGATTTTTTGCTTATCTCTTCTATGCAAAATTCTTAATTTTTTTATTTAAAAATCTTCAGCGTAGGGTCTTCCGAACTCCTCAAACTCCCTTCCATAGTTTTCGCTCATCGAGTGTGCAATTGCGTGTGCGTTCTTTAGGGGCAATTGAAGTTCATCAGCGATTTTCGCACGTCTAATTGGATGGAATTCCCGTGGATGACAGGCGGCATTTAATTGCGCCGCAGACGAAAATGTAAATCACAACGTGGCATGTGGCATGTTCCTTAAGAGTGCTCCACATAAAGTAAAATGATTGGAATAAAAATGCATACAGCGACAGAAATGCGGACAGACAAAGCGACGATGGCAAGCGATCGATGTGCCGAAAAAAAATTCATATATCGCAGCTGAAAAATATGTGCAAGGCAAGTGGGGGGTGGGGAAAGTAAGGACAGCAACTAAAAGCCACTAAATACACACATACGTATCTACAAATGTATGTACTTGTGTGGCATGATGCAACACAGTATGTAGTAAGTAGTAAAAAGTGTTGCAAGTTAAAGTGCGCGATCGTTTTCTTTTGTCGCCTGCAATTAAAATGAAATCAAGCAAACTAGAGAAGTATCGCTCATACACCGACGTTATTGTTGTTGTTTTTTCCCCCTACTTTGAAGGGCATATGCGCTAGGATTTTCGTAATTTAGTAGATATAGCGCACACGTTCGCCGCCGCCGCGAAGGGGTGCACTCTGAGTGATTTATATGCATTTCACTTGCCTGCTGCGGCATAAATAAATCGACTTAAATAAGCGGCAGTGATCATAATGCGAGCGCACAATCACACACACTCACACTCACGCTCAAACTCATAGTCAAAGTACATATTTATGTATATTTAATTGCCAGTGCGCGTACACGCATTGACACATGTGTGAGCTATTGAGTTTTGTGAGTTTTGGAGCGACTGGCAAAGCAGGGGGATCGCGCGCCCAACTGACAGATGCTTTGATTTTCACTTTGACGCTTCCTTGCCTTTGGCTGTGCAACACATTTAATTACACACATCAAAACGTGCCATTTATCGGCAGTGCGCCTAGCTGCTTGGCGCGTTGCGCCCCATCACCCCAAACCCCCCAACAAAACTTTTTTTTCTTTGCGTGGTCGCTCGCATTTGCAGTTTGGTGTATTAATTGCTTTTGTGCGGCGCTGCCGAGCAATGGACGGACTAAGCAAGCCACCAACCCACTTTGTTGCCGACACAGACTCGATTTTTTTTGTTCTTTCATAATTTTTAATTTCTTTTTAATATTTTTTTTTTCAGATTACAATTCTGAATTTTCCCTTTCAATTGCG